AACATAATTTAGCATGATAATAGTAAGCAGAATTCATATGCATGATTCGCTCGGTAAAGCAAAAGCAAAGCATGATCCGTTTGATATTAAAGGAAAATTAAGCAAATTAAAACGTAAATTCAGCATGATTATGAAGCTAAACATATGGCATCAGTAAAATATTGAAAATGGGTATTTTCTAAATTGGTAAGCCTGACTACTATCATCAAAATCGTTGTTGAAAATATTATGTATAATGGAAAAAAAAACACTTAGACAATCCATTCAGTTCTCGGTAATGTTTGTTTATGATATCTAGTTTCCTTTACGTACGTTGTTGTGTATCTTTTCTTTAAAGATTATTTCTCTGTTTAGTGATATTTTAAATGGTATAGTGGAGGAAGAATCTGGCTAGATCAACAAATTACTCTTTTTTTTCCCAAAAAAGTTTTCTTGGAATCGAAAATTGAAACCAGGAAATGATATCCATAGGCCTGTTGATAGGACGAAAGAAGTTTTTTTATGACAATACATAACAGATATTCAAGTATATTCAAGTAGTTGACACTTTATTAACCTCCTCTGTTTTTTTTTTAAGTCGATGATCGATCCGATCGATGTAAATAATTATCTTCTTCTTCCGGCTGAGACTATCATACTTTATTATACGTAATTTTAATAGTTCCAGCTTCCGGTAATGAGTTGACCTCATCATCTTGAATGATTTAATAACTCCGCTCGGTAAAACAGTTGGTTTGCAAAAATCTCGGATGTCGATCTTTTATAGAAATAATAAAAACAACGTGCGCACCTTTGAAAGAAAGGGTACTGCCAAAACCAAATACCTCATAGGATTTAATTCGTTAACTCGTAAGGGAACGATCATTCAACTTGAAGGGGGGGGGGGGGGGGGGGGGGTGGGGGGTGGGGGGGGGGGGGGGGTGTATGTTTTTTTCCATCAAGCAGATGACAAAAAAAAAAATACTCTGAATCAACATTTTCCCCATACCTTATAGTGTTAAATTTTGAAAAAAATAATTTGATTGATAGCATCGCAAAGCTAAAAAAAAAAAATGTGTCGGACTCGGACAAAAAACCATAACCCCCCTTGAAGTTAAATATGGTTGCTCCCTAATTTAGGCCCTAAAAACCTGTATTTTATTTAACTGCGATGATGTTGTGAAAATATTATGAAAGCATATCTATAAACGTTAACAGTGGCGCCACAAATATTTTTACTGAAGTATTTTGAATATACCATATTCTTTACTTTTCAATAAAAATTTCAATGGGTGAGGGGTGGCGCCACATATGAAATCATGAAATAAGGTCAAAAAGATGACAAATTTCTAGAAAAATGGACTATAATGAAATCTATACTTATTTCAGGCTAATATATTAATAATCTATGAAGCTGATATACATTTTTTGTCTGGCCTTGTCACCGAGTCAATATGCAGTTGTGTGGCAGTGGCATCAACAATGTATTAGTTTGTGATTAGGTCTAGTTTATGGTGAACAACTAGTGGTAGGTCAATGATATTATGGTATGCAGTTGTATTAGCATTGGCACATCTCATTTCCATGGAGATTATCTGGCCCTGCCCCTCCGAGTCCTGGTCTATTGACTGAAACTTTTGCTTAGTTTACATGACTTTATAAGTTTGTGATTAGGTCAGTTCAAGGGGAACCATAGTGTTAGGCCAATTGGTATGCAGTTATATAAGCATTAAGACATCTCATTTCCATGGAGAATATAAGTAAATTCTTAACACATAACTTTATAAAATGAGTTATCTCCCTTTATATGGCAAAAATGAAAAAAATTGAATCATTTAAAAAATTTAACCATTTCCTTGCAACCTTTTGATCAGGCTATGGCTGTCAGTCAACCATATTTATAATTTTAGAAGACTGAAAAAAGGCACTGGATAATGATAAAATATTTAGCAGCAATACTGAATGGACCTTAAAGCAAAGCATTTGAATGTCTTCCACATGATCTTCTTCTTAAACTCCAAACATATGGCATAAGTACATCTGCACTAGATTTATTAAAATGTCATAGATCTCACTAAAAGGAAAAAGTGTGAAAAAATCAAATGCTTGATATTTATAACGGTGTTCCTCAGGAATCTATACTTGGTGCTGTAGTATTATGTTCCTTTTGGTAAACCACTGTAAATTATATAACTATACTGATGATAACACTTTCTCCTGACAGATCACTAATTATATAACTATACTGATAACACTTTCTCCTGACAGATCACTAATTATATAACTATACTGATGATAACACTTTCTCCTGACAGATCACTTACTTAGTTAATTATCAGAGACATATAATAGAATTGTATTATTTTACTGCTCATCCCTACCACAAGAGGATTGAAGTGGTCCCCCTGAGTTCTCAATAAAAAGTTAATAATACTGTAGTTGTAAGACAAGATATAATGCCTGATTGTGTACTAAATTGTGTATGGGAAATCATATATATATTTAACAGACATAGATGGAACTAATTCATACTTTCTTTTTTTTAATCAGAACAATTGTGACTGAAATTGTTATACCTTTTGTATATTGTATACTTCCTACATGACATATGGAATAAGTAGAGAGAGATTTCAGAGTGAATCACTCATATTCACTAGTTTTAATTGTGAAGTTTCACCACCAAGAGTGAGTTTAACTGAATCACCATGTATGACTACTACTGATGTTACATATACATATATAGATCATTGGGTTTTCTACACATTGATATTGTAAAATATCAGCCGCAGGCCACAATGTGAACCTTTTTGGCAAGTAAACACAGCTAACTAGCTAAAAAGCTTCACATGGTGTCAAGCGGCTGATATCTTTATAAAGAAAACTCGCTAATCTGTTTATCGTTATATTACTGCTCTTTTTTGTCTACACTATTAGCGGTGGGGGCATTAAGTTTTACCCTTGTCTGTGTACGTACGTACGTCCCAAAATTGGTTTCCGTTCTCTAACTTGAGTTTGCCTCAACCAAATGTTATGAAACTTATACACAATGCTTATTACCACAAAACGCAGATCAAGTTTGAATTTTGGTGGCGTCACTTTAACTGTTCTAGAGTTATGCCCCTTTATAAATGGAATAAAATGCTTCGCTGGGCGCAGCTTGATACGACCGCAGAGGTCCAACCCTGAACAGTTGGGGCAAGTATGGACACAACATTCAAGCTTGATACAGCTCTGGATTTGGATTGTGATTAAATATTTGACACATCATAGGTTTCTGACACAGAAAGAATGTGGTCTAAGAACTTGAATTTTTTTTTAATTTACCTATTATGGTCCAATGTCCAAAATCAAAATACATGGTTAGATTCAGCATATCAAAGAACCCCATAAATTCAATTTTTGTTGAAATCAAACAAAGTTTAATTTTGGACCCCAACTTAGACAAACTTGAAAACTGGGCCCATAATCAAAAATCTAAACACATGTTTAGATTCAGCATATCAAAGAACCCCAAGAATTCAATTTTTGTTAAAATCAAACTAAGTTTAATTTTGGACCCTTTGGACCTTAATGTAGACCGATTTAAAAAAACAGGACCCAAAATTAAAAATCTAAATACACGGTTAGATTTGGCATATCAATGAACCCCAATAATTCAATTTTTGATGAAATCAAACGAAGTTTAATTTTGGACCCTTTGGACCTCAATATGAACCAATTTAATAGTGGGGTCCACAAATAAAAAATCTAAATACATGGTTAGATTCAGCATATCAAAGAACCCCATAAATTCAATTTTTGTTGAAATTAAAAAAAGTTTAATTTTGGACCCCAACTTGGACCAACTTGAAAACTGGGCCCATAATCAAAAATCTAAATACATGTTTAGATTCAGCATATCAAAGAACCCCAAGAATTCAGTTTTTGTTAAAATCAAACTAAGTTTAATTTTGGACACTTTGGACCTTAATGTAGACCAATTTAAAAAACGGGACCCAAAATTAAAAATCTAAAAACACGGTTAGATTTGGCATATCAAAGAACCCCAATAATTCAATTTTTGATGAAATCAAAGAAGTTTAATTTTGGACCCTTTTGACCTCAATATGAACCAATTTGATAGCGGGGTCCACAAATAAAAAATCTAAATACATGGTTAAATTCAGCATATCAAAGAACCCCATATATTCATTTTTTGTTGGAATCAAACAAAGTTTAATTTTGGACCCCAATTTGGACCAACTTGAAAACTGGGCCAAAAATCAAAAATCTAAATACATGTTTAGATTCAGCATATCAAAGAACCCTATATATTCAATTTTTGTTAAAATCAAACAAAGTTTAATTTTGGACCCTTTGGACCTTAATGTAGACCAATTTGAAAACTGGACCCAAAATTAAAAATCTAAATACACGGTTAGATTCGGCATAACAAATAAATAAATGTAGTCAAAGATTTTACAAATCTAATGTGCCATACTGTGCAATTAAAGATTACTTCTTGAAATTTTTCAATATTTGAAATTTGAAAAAAAAATAATATTTGAAGAATAATTCTTTTTAATTTCTGAAATCTGAAATGAGAAAAAATTGACCCCCCACAATTTCTTTTTACCCCCCCCCCCCCCTTTTTTTCCCCAAAAAATTCTTTCCCTCAAGATATGGTCATAATCTCAATTCAAATTTCCAATGGAGTTTGCAACCATAATTACCCATTTAAATTTACCATAGTGCTAACTTAATCTATTTTTTAATAGAATTTTAAATATAGTGTCAAATCTTTCATATGGATTTTTTTGTAAAAAAAAAAAAGATGCAACATTTGCAGATATTTTTACTGGTCTTCCTTTATAAATATGCATTTCTTTAAACATAATTTAAAAGCAGTGTAAGGGAAGTAACCAAAATGTTGTATTTGGATTACCTCCCTTACACTGTTTTAAATTATCTTAATTGTTCATTAACCATTTCTTTATACATAATTTAAAAGAGTGTAAGGGAGATAATTTCAATGTTGTATTTGATTTATCTCCCTTACACTGCTTTAAATTATGTTTTGTACTAAAGTATTTGTCCATTAACCAGGACAACCTTATTTTCCCCCCTTTTTTGCCCCTAATTCCTAAACGGTTTGAGCCATAACCCCCCTAAGCAAATCCTAACCATCCCTTTGTGGTATGGAAACTTGTAGTATAATTTCAGAGAGATCCATACACCGTTCCACAGTGACTGTCTGTAAACTAGAAAATTCTTATTTTTGGCCCCTAATTCCTTAACTGTTGGTACCATAACCCCCAAAATCAATCCCCACCTTCCTTTTGTGGTATTGAACCTTATGCTAAAATTTCAAAGAGATCCATTCACTTAAACTAAAGTTAGAGTGCGAAAACCAATGTGTCTTCGGACGACGATGCCGGACGACGACAACGACGCCAATGTCATACCAATATACGACCGCAAAAATTTTTTGCGGTCGTATAAAAATTGCAAAATTTTTAGTTTCCGTTCTGTAACTTAAGTTTGCCTCAACCAAATGTTATATGAAACTTATACACAATGCTTATTACCAAAAAACACAGATCAAGTTTGAATTTTGGTGGCGTCACTTTAACCGTTCTAGAGTAATGCCCCTTTATAAATGGAAAAATTGCAAAACTTTTATTTTCTTCTAAATATCAAGTAATTTTTAAAATTGGAGTTATCTTCCTTTGTCCATGATTATAGTTGAATTAACAACAATCAATGCTTTATACAATGCAATGTTTAATTTTGACTTCCACTGATAAAACACAGATCAAGTTGAATTTGGGTAGTGTCACTTTAACCATTATTGAGTTATGCCCTTTATAAATTGAAAGATTGCAAAATTTTTAGTTTCCATTCTGTAACTTAAGTTTGCCCCAACCAAACATTATGAAACCTATACACAATATTCATTACCACAAAACTAAGATCAAGTACACATTTTTTGTTTCCATTTTCTAACTTTAGTTTGCCTCAACCAAATGTTATGAAACTTATACACAATGCTTATTACTACATAATACAGATTAAGTACGAAATTTGGTGGCGACACTTTTACCATTCTTGAGTAATGTCCCTTTATAAACATAAAAATTGCTGAATTTTTCGTTTCCGTTCTCTAACTTTAGTTTGTCTCAACCAAATGTTATAAAACTTATACACAACTGTTCTAGAGTTATGCGTGTTTACAAATAGAAAAATTGCTGAATTTTGAGTTTCTGTTCTCTATTTAAGTTAGCCTCAACCAAATTTTATGAGACTTACACACAATGCTTATTACCACAAAACTCAGATCAAGTTCAAATTTGGGTAGCGTCACTTTTACTGTTCTTCAGTTATGTCCCTTTATAACTATATAATATGCAAGCTGGGGCATCATCTGTGTCCACATGTGGACACTATCCACATATATTTTATTTATGGTGAAAGATTCATATGTAATACTTAATTGATAAGAATTGTTAAAAATATCTATACAAAATGTATATAATTGAGCATTTTTTCCTATTGATGTTAACGTTATTTTATGAAAATCATTTGTAGGTTTTTAATTAGCAAAATGAAGTGTATAGGCTGTACATTTGATCTGGCACCAAAAGATAATTTTTGTGGAAATTGCAGACTAAAAGTGGAAATAGATCATCATGGAGACCACTTAAAGAAATGTCCTAGTTGTGAATCACTTCAAAAACTTTCACAAAAGTATTGCAGTGGCTGTGCATATGAGATGCCAGTGGACAAAAAAATTGGAAATAGTGTTGAGAACAGTACAGTGAATGATGGTAATGTTAAACTAAGTGTCAAATGTAAATGTTCATTATACTATTATTTTAAGATACTGACTACAGGTTCTTTACGAAAAAAGAATGAAAGAAATACTATACTGTGGCAAAAAAAACAACACAAAGAACAGTTCACAAAATATTACACAAAAAAACATGGATTGAGTAATGCTATCAGTAACCCCTTAGGAAGCTACCATTTGATTTTTATAGTGGGGGCTAGGATGAAATTTAAAAAAAAAGGCAGGACAGGAGCTTTGAGTAAAAAAGCAGGATGAGCAACTTGGCAAATAAAAAAGGCAGGATGAGCAACTTGGCAAATAAAAAAGGCAGGATGAGCAACTTGGCAAAAAAAAAAGGCAGGATGACAATTTATGTAAAAAAAGTCTGGATAAACTAATAAAAAAAAAAAGGCAGGACCGAATAGAGCGAAAAATAAAAGGCAGGACAGAGATTACAACTAAAAAAAAATGCAGGACAAAATTTTTCATCCTAGCCCCCCATAAAAATCAAATGGTAGCTCCCTTAAAATTGGAAGTGAACTCGTCGTGCTTCGGAAGGGGCAAGCAGTTCCTGATCAACCAGACTGTCAACTATTGTGTTGCTCATTTTAAGTAAAACTCTGATGTCAGAAGTTGCATTTGGTAATTTATAAATGAGGAAAAGAGGGCGTATTTGTGGCTATGATAAGTGGAACGTACATAATCTCTTTTGGGGCATCTGTGATACATATATTCCTTAATAGTAAACCAAAGAATGATGGTGTCTATAATACTTTTGAAAAGATGACTTTAACTTTACCATTAAGCCACCTTGTCAATATATATAGCTTCCTAGGATCAAGAAAATCATGATAGGCAATGAAACGCCCTGGAATATTATATCATTTGGTACTGTAAATTCAGAAATTTAATTGTGATGTTTTTATACTACCGTAAAAAATTTTTTGTGGTCTTATATTGGTATGTCGTTGGCGTCGTCGTTGTCGTAGTTGTTCGTCGTCGTCGTCGTCTGAAGACACATTAGTTTTCGCACTCTAACTTTAGTTTAAGTGAATGGATCTCAATGAAATTTTACCATAAGGTTCAATACCACAAAAGGAAGGTGGGGATTGATTTTGGGGGTTATGGTACCAAAAGTTAAGGAATTAGGGGCCAAAAAGGGGCCAAAAATAATCATTTTTGTAACTTCCAGACATAACTTGTGTGTAAGTGTATGGATCTTTATGAAATTGTACTGCAAGGTTCCATATCACAAAGGGAAAGCTAGGTTTGAGTTTGGGGGTAATTGCCCTAAACGTTTAGGAATTTGGGGCCAAAAAGGGGCCAAAAAACAAGCACTTTTCTAGTTTCCAGACAATAACTTGTGTTCAAGTGTATGAATCTCTCTGAAATTGTACTGCAAGGTACCATACCACAAAGGGAAGGCTGGGATTGAGTTTGGGGGTGATGAATCATAAGGGGGTTCAAAAAATTTTTTAAGTTCTTAGACCACTTTCATTCTGTGTCAGAAACATATGCTGTGTCAAATATTTAATTACAATCCAAATTCAGTGCTGAATCAAGCTTGAATGTTGTGTCCATACTTGCCCCAACTGTTCAGGGTTCGACCTCTGCGGTCGTATCAAGCTGCGCCCCAGCGGAACATTTTATTATTATTGTGAATATTGGGACTGGATGAGTATCGCAATAATATGTACTGGTATTCTGATATCTTACACAAATATCTGTATGTAGATTTTCCAGAAATTGCAATAATTAAACTCGCAATAATAAATGAACACACTTATTTCTGAATTTACAGTAGATGATACTACATAAGCATGCAGGTACTTTTGAAATTTTGCTACCTTTAATGGAAGGTTTATATTTATAATAATAAAAAATTACTTTTCTAAGCTTCCAGAGAATCATGATTCCGAGGGAATCTGAATGGCCTGTGGTTGATAGCCTGGTATCCTAGCTCACTGCTCCACAGTACTGATGCTAAAAAGAGCTTGAGCAAGGATTCCAGGCAGTATGGTTGATAGTATTTACTCACCAATATATAAGTGTGAAGTGGTAAAAACTCTAACTCAGAAAATTGAAATCAAAGAAATAGCATTTCAGAATATTTGTCAAATATTTATAACCCAATTTAGTGATTTTTAAAGTGAGAATCTATAATATTATAGCTGGGACATAATATAATATCATGACTGGACAGTCTCCATTCAGACATGATTTTCATTTCTGGCTATTATCATCTTTCCAGATTATAGCTAATACCATCATTATTTAAAAAAAAAAATTTCCGTTCCACCCCAATATTTCTAATTGATATAAATTTCAGAAAACATAAGTTAACTTTAAATTTCTTTTGAAGAATTAAATGGTAATGAAAATCAACCACCTACATTTATGTATCCAGGTAGTCCCAAAAGAAAAAAGATTGAACACAGAGATTTGTAAGTTTAGAAGATACATTATAATAACATGTATGTCCTAAATTTGGGCATTCTGCAAGAATATTTTCCTTGATGAGATGAGATATACAAAATACATTCTATGAAGGTGGAAGATAAAATATAATTGCCTAGCTCCCAAAGACTTGGAAGAAACACTAGTTAAGACTTCCTTCATATCTGAATTGACAGTTGAAAGTGTGATTTAATTGCAGGACATTATCTAGCATTCCAAAAGCTGTTAAAATAAAATTATGAAAATGGCTTTCCCAAACTTGACCCCTCCTCATTCTGCATTATTATTATTTTTATAATATCTTTAACAATTTAATATTAGAATTGATTGATTGATTGTTGGTTGCTTAATGTCCTCATAGAGTTGAGGAACTGTGCTTGTATAACAAGCATACATTGAAAAATAAATTCTAAATCAATTTAACCAACTTGGAGGTTCTTGTTGAACCATGCTAGCCACGAATGCATGTGGTGATTGGTTCTTTTTCTGAGTGAGGTAAACAAAAGTCTTGAAAATCTCATTTTCGACTTCTGTGTTAAGTGTGTACCATTTAGGAGTACTTAGTATGTAGTTTGGAACTTGCAGGCTTTTACTTCCGCCTTGTAGTCTAAATAATGTGTAGACTGTAGGATGAATTATCTTTCTACAAACTTACTTTGTGGACTTGTTAAAAATCCAGCTCAGAGCATCTATATAGCACAAAACAGGAGTTCATATTCATATCACATTAACGTGCTGTTGTCCTAAATAATCATGTAATAATTGCCACTGGTCACTGGACATTAAGCAGCCATTCATGCATTCATCAATCAATCCTAAACCAATCAATTTTTATACGCCCGTCAAAATTTTGACGGGACGTATTATGGTATACAAATGTCGTCTGTCCGTCTATCCGTCTGTCTGTCCGGCATAAACATGTCGCACAGTAACTTGAGAACGACTTATCCAAATTTCATGAAACTTAACATATTTGTTTCTTATGATGGTCAAACGATCTGTATACTTTTTGGTGTTACGGGACTTAGTAACTAAAACAGGTGTGTGTTTTTTTCACATGTCGCGCCGTATCTCAAAAACAATTTATGATTATTGCTTAAAACTTTACACACTTCTTAGTTATATTAATCTTAAGATCTGTATACTTTTTGGTGATGATTCAAAATTTATTTTAGAGATATTGAGTATTTTGTTAAAAAAGGGGGAGGGGTTTTTCACATGTCGCGCCGTATCTCAAAAACAGTTTATGACTATTGCTTAAAACTTTACACACTTCTTAGTTATATTAATCTTAAGATCTCTAAATTTTTTGGTGATGATTCAAAATTTTATTTTTGAGTTATTGAGTATTTTGTAAAAAAAGGGGGAGGGGTTTTTCACATGTCGCGCCGTATCTCAAGAACGATTTATGATTATTGCTTAAAATTTAACACACTTCTTAGTTATATTAATCTAAAGATCTGTATACTTTTTGGTATTGATTCAAAAGTTTATTTTTGAGATATTGATTTTTTTTTTTTAAAAAGGGGGGTTTTCACATGTCGTGCCGTATCTCAAAAACGATTTATGATTATTGCTTAAAATTTTACAGACTTCTTAGTTATATTAATCTAAAGATCTGTATACTTTTTGGTTTTGATTCATAATTTTATTTTAGAGATATTGAGTTTTTTGTAAAAAAAAAGGGGGTTTTCGCATGTCAGGCCGTATGTCAGAAACTATTTATGATTATTGCTTAAAAATTCACACACAAGACGACGGGCGTATCAAGCACTCATGGCGCAGCTATTTATTAAATCATTAAGTCAGATGTCAGAACAATATTGTTTAACTTTTAGAAAAATTTTACAATAAGAGATTTCGAAATTTCGAAATTATTGGGAAACTAAGGTTCCAACTCCCTTAGGCAAATTTGAGCTTAGTATGATTGGCCATTCTTTTTAGGTTTCTTTTGATTAGAATAAAGAATGGAAGCGTGTAATGTGTCAAAGAGACAACAACCCCACCAAAGAGCAGAAAAAGCCCATTGTTTATATATATAGCTCCTCAAATGTACAAATATTTATCGTTTTTGTGCCTGCATACGGAGTATATATCTCCCAATTGATACGATATTCCCAGGCTTGTATTTCCTATCATGATTTCCTTGATAGAGGATTGCTGCTCACAACGAAGCAATTAAACCAAGAGTTCCAAATGGTGAAGTTGAAATCATCCCTTCGTAAATTTTACGGACGCCATCTCGAGTTGGTTGACCGTTCTGGAATAACCGTTTCACAGATGATATCGGATATGTTCCTTATTTCGTAACTACAATACCCTTCCCTTTTCATGAATGTGACCTACCGAATTAGACTATTTACCGGATTTGTAATAACATAAGCAACACGAAGGGTGCCACATGGTTTTTGGTGGGGTTCATGTTGCTTACCGGTAGTCTTTAGTTTTCTATGTTGTGTCATCTGTACTATTATTTGTCTGTTTGTCTTTTTATTTTTGGCCATGGCGTTGTCAGTTAGTTTTCGATCTATGAGTTTGACTGTCCCTCTGGTATCTTTCGTCCCTCTTAGATACGCGGTATATTTTTTATTATGTAATTTTATTTCCTCCTCCAATATGTACTTGTATATTAAAATAAATGTCAACTTTACCTAAAACACTTGTGATTTCATACTTAAATCCACCTGTTACCATATATCTGCTCATTAGGGATTTTCCAAATTATAAGGCTAATATTAATGTACTTTTCCATTTGTCATATTTAGAAATATGATTTCATAGCTTAATTTGAACTCATTTTGTACAGAAAAAAATTAGAAGAAAAAATGAGTTATTCCAAAAACTGCAATTTTTTATGTTTTGGGTCATTTGGTAAATGTTCATGTTTGGAACTGAGTTGGTACACATCTTTTTTTGTAATTTTTTTGTTGGTACTCACAATGTAGAGTCAATATCCTAATAAAAAAATAGCAGAAAAACACATGAGAATAAACAAGAGGCTAACCAGAGCATGTATCACTCACTTGGTCAAAAAGGCTAATGGGCTGAGGACCTTTAATTGCAAACCTGCTTAAGAGATCATAAAAAAAAAATTAGAAGAAAAAATGAGTTATATTCAAAACGATAAAAGAAAAGCAATTATGATATACAGCAACAAAAGACAACCACTGAATTTCAAGCTAGTCTATTAAAAAAAAAAATTTGATTTGTTTTGATCATTTTGATAGTAAAACTGCAACTGGTGTACCATGTTTATACCTGAACTTTCTTAAATAATCCTAGTTAATAATTGATTAAAGTTGTAGCATGTGTGATATCCTTTGTATTCAGACTACTACAGAGTGTTTAACAACCTTGTTTGGCTATAAAGCCCTTGCGCAGTCTTGTCGATGCCCCAAGGGCGTTTGGTGAACATTTATACATGTTGTTGTTGTTGAAAAGTTGGTCAAGGAGGAGGTCGTCATTTTGGTTTTATATAGGTCGATTTTGTATCTTTACTATTTTGCTTTGATGTACTGCTCTTCACAAGCACTATTTTCAAAGGCAGTCGGCTATAAACCTTGTTGATGTAATACTGGTCGATGAGTCGCAGACGTAGTACTAAATGATTACAGGAAGCCTGTTCAGGACTTTAAGGTCCCAAACCCAATACCCAAAAAGAGGGTACTCAAACGTCAGTGGGCAAAACGCTCCCCCATCCACAATTGGTTTAGGGGTGTATGCTAAAGCAGACATTTATACTGACTACACTGTGTTAAGTTTAAGTTTCTGTCTTGATGAAGTAGTCAAGTTGTTGAGCCATACTATCAGCAGTTATACATTGTGGATTGTGAAAAATGAGAAGCTGACAAAGCATGTCCTTTTAGCTGTATTGAAGACACATCGACTGGGTTGTATTTAGATAGTGGAAATAAAGGTCCTATAAATAACAATTTTAGAATTTAAAAAAGTTACAAGAGATGTCTAAAACAATTTTCTTTACCAATAAATCAATTTGAGGACAGAATTTGAAAAACTGAAGGGGAATAACTCCAGATTTATATGGCCAAATGTGTTTAAAGGATAAGGAAATAATAAGGCTAAAATTTGATTTTGAACTTTTTTGGAAGTTCTTTGCAAATATTTGGAAATTGTAGTAGCTAGGGTAAAAGTGTAAATTGCAAAAATAATATACAAAGCACTTTCTATCTTTCCCTGAAAAATCTCAAAAAAAAATAAAGAATATGGAGTTATTGACCCTAAAATGTAAGTTTTTAACAATTGTCAAAGCTTTTGATTGTTACCAATTAAACTGTAGCAGCTAGGTTAAAATTATAAATTTCAAATATGATGATCATCATGACAAGATATATTTTCCTAGAAAACTGAAGAAAAATCCAACAATCTGATATGGAGTTATTGCCTTGAAATTATCTTTTTGGTCCTATTTTTTTAGTTTTGGGTAGTTATCATGAATATGAGAGGAGCTAGTTTAAAATGTAAATTGTAGATATTTCTATCCTCAAGATTTCATAAAATCTGTCAACCTGTTTTTAAGGAATGCTCCTGAAATATCATTTTTTCCAATTTCTTGTAGTTGTAAACTAAGTTATCTTAAAAACTATAAGAGCTAGGCTAAAAGTGTAAAGCTTAAATGATTAGCATGAAAAGAAATATATACTAAATTTCAGAAAATATTACAACCTGTTTTTGACTGTTATCTAGACTAAAAAAAATTAAGAGCTACGTTATATGTAAATCTCAAAAAAGATCAACACAAAAAAATATCTGGTACAATGAAACCTGTTTTAAGAGACCACTTAAGGAACAGCAAAAAAGTGGTCTCATAGAATAGGTGGTCTTTTAATACAGGTTCCATCTATATGAAATGCACTACAGAGGAAAAAGATTTTTGCGCAATATACTGGTGATCTCTTAATTGTTTTCAATTTTTTACATCACTGGGTCGATACCTCTGCTGGTGGACTATCAGTCCCCGAGGGTATCATCAGCTCAGTAGTCAGTACTTCGGTACTGACATGATTTATAACAAACCTTTCTAAAATTATCTGTTTATAAATTTTGAAATTATTAAGAAACTAAGGTTTCAACTCCCTCAGGCAAAGTTGACCTTAGATGATTTTGGCTATTTGTTTTAGGTATTTTTGTCATATAGCTCTTCAACTGTTTCGGTACTTATACATCCCTCGGATTTCAAATGTTTGGCTTTGAGCGTTCCTGATGAAGGTAAATCCAGAAAAGCGCTTCGGACGCATGAAATTATTAAACGTGTTGTTTTCAATTTTTTAAGCAGGTTTGCAATTAAAGGTCCTCAGCCCATTAGCCTTTTTGACCAAGTGAGTGATACAGGCTTTGGTTAGCCTCTTGTTTATTCTCATGTGTTTTTCTGCTATTTTTTTATTAGGATATTGACTCTACATTGTGAGTACCAACAAAAAAATTAAAAAAAAAGATGTGTACCAACTCAGTTCCAAACATGAACATTTACCAAATGACCCAAAACATAAAAAAATGCAGTTTTGGGAAATCTGCAATTGAATTTAAAAAAAAGCAATTATATTTGAGTCATTTAAGGCCTTAGAAATAATGCTCTTGTTCTTCAAGCCTTCAATAAAATAAAATAAACTGACAGTTTACTTTTAAATTGTTTCAGGAGTCACAACTGCCAAAAGAAAATCTGCATATTTATACATCTTACATACTGTGGATTAATTATTTTCCAGGGTACCAATTTTTGTGGATTAAGGAAATAGTGCATTTTCATGGATATATGATTTCGTGGTTTAACAAAAGTCTGTTGGACATTTATGTTACTGGTTCAACTGTACCCAACAATCCAACAAATGATAAAGAATTCAAAGTAGATCTAAGCATAAATTAAAAATTGTTTACACTTACATTTGGTTATAAATGAGAGATAATAATTAAGATAAACACTAAAGTAGTTATGGAAACTGTTTATATTTAATAAATATTTTTTTGCAGAAAGTTTGAAGAAGCTGTACCAGTAAGAGGATTAGTTGTAATCTGCACACATACTACTTTTAAAGGACATCCAACTCATGGCCTGAATGAAAGACAAGGTGGTAGTTACGATGAAACAATGATGGAGAACACTTGGAAGATGTATGATGACTGTGATGTTCTTACATTTAAAGATAAAACAAATTTCTTTTATACAGAAGAATTACAAGTAAAAAGTAGGTAACTTTTCAACGGGTATGGCCTGAAATTTAAATATTTTATCACTTATTTACAAGCATCATCAAAAACAGGAGGTGTCATAAAACTACTCGGTCACATGTCCTTTTGAAATTTTTGTTAAGAGCTTCAGCAGTCAAAAATATGGCTTATATTTGGTTTGTTATATTGTCATGATTGTGTGTTAATTTCCAAAACCAAAGACACAGTATACACAGGGTTATTCATTGAAAGAGAATTCTACCTGAGTATTTTATTCTTCACTCTGAAATATCTCAAGGTATATGCCATTGAAATATACTCAAAAGGGTTCAAAATCAAATTAAAACCCACACTCTATATAAAGTGGAATTAATATTGCATCACCTTATCTGTGAGTCTGTTCAGCTATCCATTCGTCTACCTGGGCAACAAATATTTCCGTCACAGTTTTCATATGCTACTTAACATAATGAGTTCATAATTGGCCAGCAGTTTGACAGTGATGAATTATCAAGTGATAGCACTTTTCAAATCTGTCAGACACCTACTTCCAGTTTGCAGATACTTTGAATTTTTCAATATGATGAATGAACTTAAATTTTTCATCACATTTTTTAGCTCACCTGGCTGAAAGGCCAAGTCAGCTTTTCTCATCACTTGGCGTCCGTCGTCAATGTCTTCCGTTAACTTTTACAAAAATCTTCTCCTCTGAAACTACCGTACTAGGCCAAATTTAACCAAACTTGCCCACAATCATTATTTAGTTATTTAGTTGCCCTTTAATGATAATTTTTACCATTTTTTTGAGTGTTTGCCTGCTATCTTAAAAATTCTAATAGATAGATAGAAACTTAAATAAGCAAAAATGATCAGCAAGACAAGATCTACATTCAAGACAATTTGGAGGAAATCATCCGACGACTTCTTATTGGAGTTATTGCCCTTAAATGACGATTTTAATCCAATTTTTTTGTGTTTTGCCTTATATGATAAAAATCATAATAGATAAATAGACACTTTAAATCACAAAAATGATCGGCAAGGCAAGATCTACTAACAAGTCAAATTTTGCCGATATAGTTAGTAGACTGTCACTCTTTATAGGAGTGATTGCCCTTAAATGAGGATTTTTTTTACCCCCTGTGTGTTTTGAGCAAAAACTAAAAAAGATAGAGAGAAACTAAACAGACTAAATGACCAGCAATACAAGATCAACAAAACAGAGATTTTTTGCATGAATTCAATTCTCGTCTACAATGTTGGAGAGAGTGTCCTTTGTTGAATATGCACATAGACCAAGGTGAGGGCCATAGGCTCTTTAGAGCCTCTAGTTTTTCATGTTTGTCTACTATTTTAAAAACTATAATAGATACAGAGAAACTTTTATTAGGAAAAATGATTAGCAAGACAAGATCTACAAATAAGTAGAATGGCTGAAATCATCAGACGACTCCTTATTGGATTTATTGCCCTGTGATGACGATTTTACCAATTTATTACGTTTTTGTCTTATATCTTAACAACTATAATAGATAGAAAGAAACTTTTAAAAAACCAAAATGATCAACAAGTCATGATCTACAAATAAGTCAAACATGACCAAAGTCGTCAATTGACTTCTTATTGAAGTTATTGCCCTTTAATGACGATTTTTCAATTGTTTTGTATTTTTGCCTTTTATTTTGAAAATTTTAAAAGATAGATAGAAACTTTATATAGCAAAAATGACAAGCAAGTTAAGATCTACAAATAAGCCATCATGTCTGAAATCTTTAGTTGAAAGTTTTTCCCGTTTAAAGATGTTTTTACATTTTTTTGGAGTTTTGCCTATTATCTTGAAAAGTGTTATAGAAACAAATGTAGCAAGAAACTTTTAAAAACAAAGATTATCAGCAAACAAGATCTACAAATATGTCAACATGACTGAAATTTTCAGTTAACTCTTTATAGAGTTGTTGTCCTTTCGTGATGCTTTTTACCAAAAAATGGCTATTGTTGAAGATGCAGGTGAACGACACAGGCTTATTTGACATGTTTATTTGTTTCAGTACAAGAAAAGTTGAAGTTCAAACAGAATGTTAAGTATTTTGTATTTGTTTTGAGCACCCATGGAGATGAAAGACAAGTGGCAGGAATGCATTATGAGCATTACTTTTACACTAAAGATGGCCAGCTTAGAACTCAAGACTTAATGGAAAAGATAAATGCTATAAGTGGACTAAATGGGAGAATGAAGCTGTTTTTCATACAGGTTAGTTTCAAGTCTGCTGTCATAATTTCTGTTTTTTAACTATTATCTTGAAAACTAAAATACATAGATAGAAACTGTAAATAGCAAAAATGACCAGCATTACAAGATCAACAAACATGCCAATATGACAAAACCATTGGATGAAATTTGTATAGAGGTAAATGCCCTTTATACGATTGACCACATTCATTCTGTGTCAAAAACCTATGCTGTGTCAAATTTTTAATCACAATCCAAATTCAGAGCTGTATCAAGCTTGAATGTAGTGTCCATACTTGCCTCAAGTGTTCAGGGTTTAACCTCTGCGGTCGTATCAAGCTGCTCCCTGGAGCATTTTATTGACTATCATTATGAAAACTATACTGAATAGCTAGAATTTGTAAACAACAAAAAAGATCAGCAAAACATGATCTTCAAAAATGGCGATATGAACTAAGTGCCATTAATGATGATTTCTCTAGTTTTTATGCCCCCGCCGTAGCGGTGGGGGCATTAAGTTTTACCCTTGTCCGTCTGTACGAACGTACGTCCCAAAATTGGTTTCCGTTCTCTAACTTGAGTTTGCCTCAACCAAATGTTATGAAACTTATACACAATGCTTATTACCACAAAACACAGATCAAGTTTGAATTTTGGTGGCGTCACTTTAACCGTTCTAGAGTTAGTTCCCTTTATAAATGGAAAAATTGCAAAATTTTTAGTTTCCGTTCTGTAACTTAAGTTAGCCTCAACCAAATGTTATGAAACTTATACACAATGCTTATTACCACAAAACAGAGATCAAGTTTGAATTTTGATTGCGTCACTTTAACCGTTCTAGAGTTATGTCCCTTTATAAATGGAAAAATTACAAAATCTTTATTTTCTTCTAAATATCAAGTAATTTTTATTTTGGAGTTATCTTCCTTTGTCCATGATTATAGTTGAATCAACTACAATCAATGCTTTATACAATGCAATGTTTGATATTGACTTCCACTGATAAAACACAGATCAAGTTGAATTGGGGTAGTGTCACTTTAACCATTATTGAGTTATGCCCCTTTATAAATCTAAAGATTGCAAAATTTTTAGTTTCCATTCTGTAAATTAAGTTTGCCCAAACCAAACTTTATGAAACCTATACACAATATTCATTACCACAAAACTAAGATCAAGTACAAATTTTTTGTTTCCGTTTTCTAACTTTAGTTGGCCTCAACCAAATGTTATGAAACTTTTACACAATGCTTATTACTACATAATACAGATTAAGTACAAAATTTGGTGGCGACACTATTACCATTCTTGAGTTATGTCCCTTTATAAACATAAAAATTGCTGAATTTTTTAGTTTGTCTCAACAAAATGTTATAAAACTTATACACAACCGTTCTAGAGTTATGCGTGTTTACAAATAGAAAAATTGCTGAATTTTGAGTTTCCGTTCTCTACTTAAGTTAGCCTCAACCAAATGTTATGAGACTTACACACAATGCTTATTACCACAAAACTCAGATCAAGTTCAAATTTGGGTAGCGTCACTTTTACCGTTCTTCAGTTATGTTCCTTTATAACTATATGATATGCAAGCGGGGGCATCATCTACGTCCACATGTGGACACTATCCACATTTATTGTCTATTATCTTGAAAACTTTATTAGATAGGCAGAATCTGGAAAAAGCAAAAATGATCAGAAAAACTAATTATATTTTTGACAGTCGAAGGGGTTCAGGCTCTTAGGGGCTTAGTTTAATACAAATAATTATGACAATCTTTTAAAAAAAAAATCGTATGAGGTACTTTCCAATCCTGAAATTCTCTCAATCATTAAGCGCATCCAAGACTGTTACCAATTGAATTTAGTAAATTTCACCAAAATCAAAGAAATTTGATAGACACAACATTCTTGTAGATACATATACCCCAGAGAAGACCACCTTAACTATCAATCATATTGACAAACCCTGGAAAAAATTCCTAGAATCATAGATTCAAGAGAAAAAAAGGAAATAGTGTTGTCAGTTTATCTCTTACTATTGGAAGATGAGCTTATCAATTTAGCTAGATCTCTTAGAAAAAAGGAACTCTTTTCTAACAAGGCCATTTTAACATTAACACTCAAGGGGCATAAGAAGTCTTCACTCAGACAAAGAACAAGAAGACACAGAAAATTCTGAGATTTCTGAATAAAAGTTCATGGATGTAATTCATAAACCGAGTAAATGTGTCACTTTAAAACATACAATTGACAAAATTAAATCAAACGTAACACATTTGTCCACTGCCACCTTGTAAACCTTCATCAATTTATTGCCTGAAGAAAGAGTTATGCATTTTCAAATTCATTGCTAATCAATTTCCTGTTTACCAAATAATTGTATATTCTTGGTCATAATAGCCATGTATGGATGTTTGTCACACAAATAAGAGCTTTTTGAAATTTGGAATTAAGTTTCATGTCACCATGCTATACAATCTAATGGGTTTCACATCCATCGTTCCTAAACTTCCTATTCATCAAATACTAATAGCCTGGGTATCATTACTAAGCAAAAGCTCACAGTTCAACTCGTTTTGATAGGTTTAAGCACTTTATGATTAGCCAATGGGAAGTTAGATTACAACAATAGTCATCTTTCCTATATACATTGTAGTGATGAAATCACTAATTATTAATAAGTTCATCCCAAGCATGACTGGGGTATAGAAATATGGTCATTTTTGGTTTTCTTGAAGCCTGTCACCAGGAAAACCTTTTCTAAAGTAAGTGAGGCATCAGTTTGGCTGTTCAGTCAGAATGGGACATCAAATCTGATGCTTTGTGTTACGAGAGAATGTCTGCAGGCTCTCTTCACATTAAGAACCATTGCAACAACTCTTTGAGGGGTCTGTATAATATAGGTGGCCTGTTGCAATGCTAAAGTTCTGTCCCTATTCAGCATACCCTCATTTTCCAGTGGTAGTCCAAATTTCCTACCCTTCATACCAGTCAATCCTATGGAAGGATCTACCTATTGTATATATTGTTAACTTGTTCTGGTCCTGAACATGCTTGAACTATTTGCCACTGGATGTTTAGCAAACAACAATCAATCATTAAAAACAGGGGTTGAAATTAGCGGTGGTCCAAGGTCTGTGACCTTCCACTATTGCAATCGGACTTTCATTTTGGTTACAAGCTACGCCCGACGGACCTTCGTTTTGAAAGAAAATAAAATTTAACTTTGCCGACCTTTTTAACCATCAGTATCGTCATTTCAAAGCCATATTACTATTGACATGGTATACCCCTCAAGAGCGTACTTCAAACCATTTTAACTGTCGGCAAAATAAGTCTATTAACCCATTAGAAGTGATGAAAGTTGCCTTAAGTAAATTTGTAATCCATTCATTGCATTAAAAACGTCATATTCCCTTACAAATAGCATATCAAACATTTATTTTTGTAAATTTTCTCGTCCGCCATTGAAATATTTGTACAAACTACTGACCGGAGTCGGGAAACGGACCAGCTATGAATGAAATGCGGATTCTAAGGATAATGACTACGGACCCATGAATGGCACATCTGACAGAAGAATATTGATTCCAAAGGGAAAAATTAAGCATTCATCACTTTCTTGTCTTTTTTGATGTAAAAAAAGTTCTTTCTTTATTAGTGCTAGATATTTAGTTGGTAGTTTCTAACAAGAGAGGAACTAATATAATTGTGCAACATATGATGAACTTAAACAGCTATGAATTTGAACTGTTACTTTAATTGTATACTTGGTTATGAATTGAACAATATAAAAAAAGATACATATAGCATATAGTAAAAATCAAACATTGTAGCGCCTTGAGTGAGCACTTCTCTTTTAGATCTCACCACTTCTCCCTATCAGTTTAAAAAAAGAGAAGTCACTTCTCCCTATGATTCTGAAGTAGTGTAAGCCCTGAGATAATGGTATAATTACCAATAATTGAGACAACACACCCACCCACAGTGACACCCTCCCCAATACCCCCCAAATAAAAAGATTATTTGAATTCATAATATACTTGTAAGACAATTACATCATTTATTATTATACATGTTATACCACAGTGACACTGACAGTTTAGTGCTACATTTATATGGTTGCCTGGCAGTTCAAATATAATTAAACAAGCTAACCTAAGACCAAAAACACATTAATTTGTATCTTAAATTACTGAGTTATGAAATATTCCAAATAAAGTAGGACCTGGGATTTATGTTGTGGACCTTTCAGTTTGGAGTGTCAAAGGTCCTGGACCTTCCAATACCAAGTGTTAATTTGAACCCCTGAAAAAGTGAAACTCATTCTGCTTCTTTCATAACATTTCCCTCTAAACAGCAAGATACGTATACGTACAGATAACAACTTTATAAAAAACTTTAAGGTTGTTGTTTTGTTACTTTGGCAGTCAATTTTAGAAATTTGAAGAAAATAACTCATAATCAGTAGACTGTAGGTCGACTAAAAGTTTAGTAGTCTACTGTGTAAATCCTTAGGGTTGGGATGTTTGGGACAAAAACACAAATTTTATACTAGATACCATGAGGACCTTCAGTAGTTGATTTGGTTGAAGACACTCATAATATTTAGGCTGATCTCTTTCAGGCTTGCAGGAGTAGAGCAACCAATACAGAAGATGATAATAAAGACTTAGGAGTCAGCATACCAATTACATCAGCAAAAAGCAAAAGAACAATAAGACAACGAAGTAAGAGTACTGATTATCAAGATGCTAAAGGCTACATGCCATCAGAAAAAGATGACAATAAGGCAAAAGGCAACATACCAACATTTGAAACAGATGACTTCTCTACCCAAAAGACAAAAGGCAACATACCAACATCAGAAAAAGATGACTACTTTTCCAGTAAGACAAAAGGCAACGTGCCAACATTTGAAACAGAAAAAACAGAAGGTTATGATTGTCCAGATGCAATAGCCTGTATGCATTCACCTATGGAAGAAGATGATGAGAATAAAGACGCTGAACCTGAGACAGAGATTCCACACTGTGTTGAAGACGCTGAACCTATGATTCCACATAGTGAGGATTGTGTAGTGGTATTTGGTTCTATGGCTGGTAAGTATACAAATTTTATCATATTTTATTGATATCTACACATTTGTTAGTTCGAATAAAAATCTAATACCGGTTAGTATCTTATCCTAGCCTTGTTAACATTAATTTAGTAAAATAGCATTTGTATATTGCCGCTACACTGATGTTAGTTATGTTAGTAATATACACATAAATTAACATATTTTGAATATCCTATAACAGTACAGAAATAACAATTTAGACATTCATTGCAAAATGAAGAACCAAACATATTTTTACTGTTAGTTCAAGAACAAACTTACAGTTATTCTTTAAAATGGCTTTTCACTTAGAGTAAAAATATGAGATGCAGAAATTCAATGTGAATTCTGCATTATCAAATACAAAGGAAAATTGGTATTTCTAAATGGTGGCTAAATGAATTTTTAATTTACCATTCTACTCATATTCTACTTCAGTCAAGTTTGTCATACATTAATGATATATGATTGCATATAAATTATTAATATAGATTTCAAAAACGAGTGTAAATTGAATAAAGCTTGTTGTTTTATGGTTGTAGCCTGTTATCTATTTCTCACATATGAAGATATATTTTTTATATCTCACTGCACTGAAAGTGATTCTTAAAAGTGTTACAAAAAATTCTTTCATTTGATTTGCTTATCCGGCTTCATGACACAATATTGCGACATTTCCATTGGTTATTTGTTAGTTCATTGATAACTTTCAAAGGCCAAAAAAGATGTACATTTCCTCCTTGGAAAGGAAGATATATGATTTCTTCACTAATATACAAAACACTTAACACTTTTCACCTGGAATCTTATTTTTGTCAAATTTTATTACTAGTACATTTTTAACCTTACAAACATTTGTAAAATGCAGATGTTAAAGTTTGATGCTGTAACAAGACACATGAGGTCATACTGGTATGTGCAATATGTGCTGTTTTAAAGTTTGACACTGTAACAGGACACATGACGTCATACTGTTATGTGCAATTTGTGCTGTGTTGAAGTTTATCACAGTAACAGGATACATGACGTCATACTGGTATGTGCAATTTGTACTGTGTTAAAGTTTGACACTAACAGGACACATGACGTCATACTGGTATATGCAATATGTGCTGATTTTAAAGTTTGACACTGTAACAGGACACATGACGTCATACTGATATGTGCAATTTGTGCTGTGTTAAAGTTTGACACTAACAGGACACATGACGTCATACTGGTATGTGCAATTTGTACTGTGTTAAAGTTTGACACTAACAGGACACATGACATCATACTGGTATGTGCAATTTGTACTGTGTTAAATTTTGACACTAACAGGACACATGACGTCATACTGGTATGTTCAATTTGTACTGTTTTAAACTTTGACACTAACAGGACACATGACGTCATACTGGTATGTGCAGTTTGTACTGTGTTAAAGTTTGACACTAACAGGACACATGACGTCATACTGGTATGTGCAATATGTGCTGTGTAAAAGTTTGACACTGTAACAGGACACATGACGTCATACTAATATGTGAAATTTCTGCTGTGTTAAAGTTTGACACTAACAGGACACATGACGTCATACTGGTATGTGCAATTTGTACTGTGTTAAAGTTTGACACTTACAGAACACATGACACCATACTGGTATGTGTAATTTGTACTATATTTAAAGTTTGACACTAGCAGGACACATGAAGTAATACTGGTGAGGCTTGTTTAGGGGGGGTATCAATATCCCATATCCCATTAAGTTTTTGTCCCAATATCCAATATCCCTATAATGTTTACCCCTTATATCCCAATAATTTTTTTTTACAAATATCCTGTATCCCTAAAACTATTTTGAAATATCCCAAAAAATCATTAATTCATTCCCAAACCCATTTTTATACCACCGCAAAAATTAAAAATTTTTGGTCGTATATTGGTATGATGTTGGCGTCGTAGTCGTCGTCGTCGTCGTCGTCTGGCGTCGTTGTCCGAAGACACATTGGTTTTCGCACTCTAATTTTAGTTTAAGTGAATGGATCTCCATGAAATTTTACCATAAGGTTCAATACCACAAAAGGAAGGTTGGGATTGATTTTGGGGAGTTATGGTACCAACAGTTAAGGAATTAGGGGCTAAAAAGGGGCCAAAAATAAGCATTTTTGTAACTTCCAGACATAACTTGTGTGTTAGTGTATGGATCTCTCTGACATTGTACCACAAGGTTCCATATCACAAAGGGAATGCTGGGATTGATATTGGGGGTAATTGCTGCAAAATTTTAGGAATTAGGGGCCAAAAAAGGGGCAAAAAACAAGCATTTTTCTAGTTTCATGATAATAACTTGTGTGTAAGTATATGGATTTTTCTGAAATTGAACTACAAGGTTCCATATCAAAAAGGGAAAGCTGGAATTGAGTTTGGGGGTAATTGCCCTAAACGTTTAGGAATAAGGGGCCAAAAAGGGGCCAAAAATAGCATTTTTCTAGTTTCCAGACAATAACTTGTGTTCAAGTGTATGGATCTCTCTGAAATTGTACTGCAAGGTACCATACCACAAAGGGAATGCTGGGATTGATTTTGGGGGTAATTGCCTCAAAATTTTAAGAATTAGGGGCCAAAAAGGGGCAAAAAACAAGCATTTTTCTAGTTTCAGGACAATAACTTGTGTGTAAGTGTATGGATCTTTATGAAATTGTACTACAAGGTTCCATATCACAAAAGGAAAGCTGGGTTTGAGTTTGGGGTAATTGCCCTTTACGTTTAGGAATTTGGGGCCAAAAAGGGGCCTAAAAACAAGCATTTTTCTAGTTTCCAGACAATAACTTGTGTTCAAGTGTATGGATCTCTCTGATATTGTACTGCAAGGTACCATACCACAAAGGGAATGCTGGGATTGATTTTGGGGTTAATGGCCTCAAAATTTTAGGAATTAGGGTCCAAAAAGGGGCAAAAAACAAGCATTTTTCTAGTTTCAGGACAATAACTTGTGTGTAAGTGTATGGATCTTTATGAAATTGTACTACAAGGTTCCATATCACAAAAGGAAAGCTGGGTTTGAGTTTGGGGGTAATTGCCCTAAACATTTAGGAATTTGGGGCCAAAAAGGGGCCTAAAAACAAGCATTTTTCTAGTTTCCAGACAATAACTTGTGTTCAAGTGTATGGATTACTCTGAAATTGTACTGCAAGGTACCATACCACAAAGGGAAGGCTGGCATTGAGTTTGGGGGTGATGAATCATAAGGGGGTTCAAAAAATTTAGTGGAGGGATTTTTTTTTTCTTTAAAATTTTCCATTTTAAATTGGTTATTTCTGATTTATATATAAAAGCAAATAATAATGATATGGTTTGAATAGGTAAATTAAAATTTTAAGTTCTTAAACCACATTCATTCTGTGTCAGAAACCTATGCTGTGTCAAATATTTAATCACAATCCAAATTCAGTGCTGTATCAAGCTTGAATGTTGTGTCCATACTTGCCCCAACTGTTCAGGGTTCGACCTCTGTGGTCATATCAAGCTGCGCCCCAGCGGAGCATTTTATTGTATACAACATTCGTAAATACATGTTGTGCGTTGTAGTATGGATGTCAAGGATGTGATATTTTTTTCCCAGAGAAAAGTTAATCATTCAGAATTATCCAAACCTTTAAATCTTAATCTACATGTCTCTGGAATAACCAATATATAACTAAGCGTTTGTAACAAATAAAAAGTTACTGTAGAGATAAGCGTGTCTCAACCACCAAATGTGAGCTCATCAAAGGCACGTAGCAAAGAGAATCACCCAATGTGAACTCACAGATGACACGTTGTTTTAATATAAATGCTAAGAAGCAAAAAATCCAATTCTACAATAAAAAAAAAGAACGGAATGAATATAATATGCAGCAAAGAGCTGCACATGCAAAAAGGCATGTAGTTAATCTATTAAAATGCAAATTATCAAATCAGGAAAATATTCTGTTGGCGAAAGGCTTGAAATTTATACCAACGCCATCAAGCAAAAATGCAAAAATGTCTATACTAAAAGACTACAGTGAATTTGCTAGACAACTGCGATGTCGATATATGTTCAGTCATGAAGAAAAAAATTTGTAAGGATTCCGCGGAACCCAGTGCCTCGCCTACTTTTGCTGTTAATCGCAGGCTCAACAAAAATGAGGAAAAAAATTAATAAAAATATTCCTCTCGATACTATCTTTTGATTGTAAGAAGCTTCTGTCCAAGTTTGGTAAAAATCCAGGATAGTTTATGAATCTAATAAATGTTTTAAAAACTTTAACTGCAGACTGTATGTAATGTTAACTGGAAGAAAAACTAAGTCCATTTATAAGTAAAATACAGAAAAACAGGTACAAAATTTCCTTCTAGATACTAGCTTTTGATCATAAATACGCTTCTGTCCAAGTTTGGTACAAATCCAGGATAGTTTAAGAAAGTTATTAAAATTTTAAAAACTTTAACCACAGAGTGAATGTTATATTTCCTGGCAGAAAAACTAAGTCCAGTTATAAGTAAAATACGGAAAAAATTGATTTTTTTTTTTACTAAATTAACTTCTGGATACTATCTTATGATCATAAACAAGCTTCTGTCCAAGTTTGGTAGAAATCCAGGATAGTTTAAGAAAGTTATTGAAATTTCAAAAACTTTAACCACAGAGTGAATATTTGTGGACGCCACCGCCGACGCCTACGACGCCGATGACGGAATGTAGGATCGCTATGTCTCGCTTTTTCGACAAAAGTCGAAGGCTCGACAAAAATGACCTTCATCCATTTCATAGCAATACAGGATATAAACCTGCTTCTACATGCCATACGTTGGAAAATTATATCGATTTAACAAAGCTTGAATTTTCTTTTCTAATAAATAAAAAAAAACAATCTTACTAAGGGCGAAAGAATAGCAAGTAAGCAAATTGAAAAATGATGAAACAATAGTAATAAAAAAGGCAGATAACAATTCAAATTGTGTTATTTCAGACAGACTAGACTACATAACAGAAGT